ACGAAAGAAATGGATTTCGCAAAAATATCACGTACGAATCATTTGAAGACCTTTGATTGTTCTTTTATGCAACAGGCCGAACGGGAAACGGAAATGCCGCGCTGAAACAGGAGCTCTAGCTGAAGCGAGAGCCACAGCCAAAGCCCAGCGTACGGCAGGTGGGTAGGTGGGTGGGTCAGGGCGGTGCAAATCATTTGCAATGCGAAATGAATGCCGACGTGGGGCCATCGTTGATTGTTGTGTGAAACTTGGCGCTGCATACAAAATGAGCGAAAAGAATCAGGCCACACGAGAAGGGAGGGAAGGCGGTGTATATTAATTGATAAGGAAATACGGAACAACAATTGACAGACGACGAGAAGCGAAAGAAAACAAAGTTGAAATTTAATTGCATAGAAAATTGATGGGGGAAAAAATGGGGCAAAATCTCAAGAAAGTCGGCTTAATCAAGAACTAGGTCTGCACTCGAAGAAATGTGGAAACTATTATTTAGATATTTGCATACAGAAGCGGAGTTGGAGGCAGGTGCATAGCAAAGACACGAACCTCTAGAAAGGGCCAAAGTGCAGTTGGAGAATGTCAATGTGCTGAAGCAGTAGAGAATGTGAGTGAGGAAGTGAGTTTCTCTGAAGTAATATACTTTATACAATAAGTAGATAAAGTAAATGTTTAATAAGCAAATAATTAGCTAAAGAAGATAAGCTTATAAGTATGAAAATTATGCTAGGCATTCGCGTGCCAAGATCTTTAGCAAAGACACGAATCACATTTATGTAAAAAAGAAATTGTCCACAGCATTTTAGTTTCTTTGAAATATGTCAGATTGTACTCTTAAGAAAAACATTTGAAGCAGATAATAAACAGATCTTGTTTAGAGATATGGCATATATGGGAAATACATGCATATCAGCCAGATATGGTATGCAAGAGGCATTTGCATATGACAAGACAGCTCACAGCGAAGACCCAAACCAGTGAAAAATGCCAAGAAAGGAAAATGTTAATTCTCTTAAATGTTTTGCAGACTTTGTATTAAAAGAGAGAGCTGAAATTGAGTTATTTTATAAGATGATAGGCATATACAAAGTAAATTAAATACATTGAACTAAAGCGTACTCCGCATTGTTAGTATGGCATACACATGACTTTGCATTAAGCAGCATAAAGCATAGCAAAGATACGAACCAAAAGGACTTAACAGGAAACGAAATGTTAATAATTGTGTTGCTAAGTGAATTGCCATAATTGAGTGAATAATAAATAACGATATATTAAAAACTATATATAAATATTATTAATTTAATATTAATATTTAAAGTCGTTATTAACCAAACAGAATTTTAAGAGTTACATACAAACATTTAATGTACTTCTAATAATTTAATTATAGAATCTCTTTCTGTACTTTCAACATCAAATTTATTTCCCACATAAAAACCCACTTCAGCTCTAATATATCCATTCATTTGTTTACCTAATCGCGCACTTGTGCTGTTCAAATTTTCAAATTCCTATTGAGTTTGAGAAATCTTGGGAAATCCATAATATTGAACAGCAAGAGACAGAGCAGAGACCCAGCCAAGTGCTGTACAAATTTGTTGGCTGTGGCAATGCGAGGCAAAGACGACAATCGCGTCATGGATTGCAGGCGAGTATCTCGCTCCACTTAAATGCCGAAAGATCTCTGACAATTGAACAAATTGCAAATGCCATTGTTATTGTTGTTGTTGTTTTTACATACTCGAGTGCCTACAGTTATAATTGCATAAGTGCGTCGTCTCCCCACACACACACACACACACGTAGACACAGAGACTTCAGTGCGACATAGATTGCGATCTGACATGGCTTGGGAATAGTTGTGGGAGCAGATCTTTGTCGTTGCTCTCGAGACACACTTCAGCTGGGGCGAGTGAGTAAAGGCGGCGAGGCAACGGCTTATGCAACTTGGCAAGTAACTTCTTCCGCCTTTGCTCAACAGACCTCCCAAAAAGAAAACAAACTCAACTGACCTTAGCTAATTAAATGGCCAGTGTATCTAGCTGGGGTTCTTTTACTTAATTCCCGGCTTTTCACTTTTGCCACTGGCCCTGGCCAAACAGAGCATTGACAATTAGCCAGCCCCAGGCGTAAAAGCCAAGAAGAGAAAAGGTCAAACATCAAAAATGAGGCCAAAGCAGTCTTTGACCATGCACCCATGGGAAACCTTTTGACCAAATCACTCATGTTGGCTGCCAGTGGAATGTAAAGAGTTTTCATTTCTGTTTTTGGAAGAATTTGTTGATGAGGAGAGCTGAGCAAAGTTATATAAATAAATGAAATTCTATCGATATGACGAATTTACTTTGATAAGAACTGCACATTTTCTATAGCTTTGATGGCCTATTGGACTTTATGTTTTAAGATATGGGAATACGTCAGCAAAGATATCTTTTAGCTGTCCTGCACTTAATCGCATTATAGCGCAGAAGTGAATAATAGATGGAGCATTCCAGTTACTGACAAATTCGTTTTCTTTTAATAGGACAACAACAAATTGCTTGCTCTTCCATCATATCGATTAAACAATTTTCTGGCACCTGTGCCCACACACACACACACACACACACACATGGAGACACACTTACTCAGCCCACAAGTCCATAGTCCGCATTTAAAGTCGGCACAACATAAAGAGCATAGAGCAAAAGTGTGAAAGACAAATGTGAGACAGTCGGAAACTAAATGAAACAAAAACAACAACAACAACAACTACAAAATATAATCATAAACGAAAATCGATTTTTAACCCAAATGTGACGCTGACCCAGAAAAAGTAAAACAACAACAACAGCAACAACATGACAAATACTGAGAAAACCCACGCGACCTGCAACTCAACGTATTGAAGCATAAAATGTTGCAATTATTATAATTAATGCGAATTGAAAACACAAAATAATAATAATAAAAGAATGAGGCAAAGTTTAAGAAACGTTTAAGCTAACTACAATAAATAATGGTGGGTTAGGGAACAAAGGGAATTTAAGCGAAAATTAAAAACCTTAAAATAAAATAAAGTTTGAGTGTGCTTAGTTTTAGGAATCGAAATACTAGATTAGCTTCCATCGATTTAAGTGAAAGATTGAAATATAAATAACTTTTAATTATTTTATCCAACCAATCTTTTATCCATCTAACAAATCTTTTTTTTTTTTGATTCAATATAGTTTTTTTTTTTTTAATATTTAATTTTTATCAATTTAGTTACTTTTTTAATTATTTAATTTATCATTTTCCTATTAACACGTATTTCAAATCTAATTTAATTGCTCTAATCAACCGAGCTTAATTCTATTTAAATTTCTCTATATACATATTCTCTTCCATACACGTTAAATAATTCAACATTGTTTTATCTTGTACTTTCAGGTAAGCAAACATAGATTAACTTGAAATGTTCGTTTGGTATTGGACAAGTCTATTATCTAACTTTTTGCTGCCTTGGGGTAAGTGTTAGACAATGGGCTCAACACCTGCAAACCTGCCAAAGAACTGCCCAAAGAAAACCAGAAAGCTGGCAAAAAGAATTGGCCATAAAATGTTAATGTTACGATGTTGCTGCTGCTGATTTCCCACACGAGGCGTTCGTTAAGCGAGGGCGTGGCAGCCCGACTGATGGCAACAGCAACACAAATCCTACGCCTTCTGTTAGGTTTGTCCGTCCGGCCCATTACGTCATATTGTGGTCTGTGACTGTGCGCTTGTTTTTGCTTTTAAGCCTCTTTTTACTCTTTTCGTATTTATTGTATTTTTATTTTGCTTCTCTCTTATTTTACTTTTGCAAGGTTGTACAAGGCAAACGGGTGTTACATTAATAGTCAACTAGCTCGCGCACTTGCCGCACCGAAAAATCGCCAACGTTGTGCGATAATACATTATAAGTAATGAGACAGTTAGTACTAACCAGGCAGAGGCCTGTTCAACAAGGGAGAGTGAGCAATTACGGCCTACGTGCAAATGAATTACAAGTTGAACTCTTAGCATTTACTATTAAAGGAAGTCAAGGAATTACTGTGGGAGCCTAGGCGTATTTGCCTTTTATAGGCGAAGTTATCTTAAATTTATTAAAATGCTTGACTTTGATTAGCAGACGTACATAGATGATAATGCTGATCGAACCAGCTCAATTAGCTAAAGCACTCAGCGAACTTGTTCGCATGCACTTAGCTGTGAACCAGCTACGCAACTCTTTGAGCAACTGTTAACATTTTGCTTATCTCTGACACACATACGAGGCTGAGCATGTGTATTACAGCTTTGTCAAACTGTTATACGCTCATAGTAGAGGCTGTGCTATAATAAAACTTTATATTCTTTAGTTTTTTTGTGATTTGCGGCGATTCCTCAACTCGATTTGTATTGTGTGCATTGATTAGTCAAACATTTGGCTAGCATTTGTTTAATAAATAGCTCTCCTCCCCTCTCACCCCCTGTGGGACTTTGGTTATAAATAGCTGCAATTGCATGCGGTCATTTATTTGCGTTTAATTTTTTTTGTTTTATTTTGGTTTTTGTGGTTGCTTGCGCCCGCTTTTGTATACAAATTTAGTTTTGTTTACTCCGCCGTTGCTGTGACGACTGAATCGAATCGAAGACTCCTTTTCATAAGTACCAATACTTACCAAGTGGATGCTAGGCAACCGAGAAGCCGAAGCACGCGAGGGTGCATGGCAACCGGTTCCTTAAGTGCTGTACATAAGACAATGAAAAATAAATATTTTATTTCTAGTTTCTAGCACTATGTGGGTGAATATCTAAATTTGAATATATTAAAAATGTTTATTAAAAAGAAAACGATCTTTAAATTACTCTGCCTAGTTCTTTTCTTTATTTGCCTTGCTGCTCTCAAATGAACAGCTGATTAGTTCAAAAAGTTCATTACAGTTCGGCTCACTGCATTTGTATCTGTGTGTGTGTGTGTGTGTGTGTGTGTTTGTGTGCTTTCTCACTCTCCTTTGCTTAGCAGCATATGTTTATTCCTTTTGCTTTCTCACTACAATTTCTATTGCTAAGTCGAATTAGTCGCATTTTCGGCTGTGCAGAGCAGCAAAACGAACTACGACTGCGACGGCGACGGCGACGCCAACGGCGACTGAGGCAGCGTGTCGACGTCAATGGGCACCCAACAAGTTAGCTTAGCTAGGAGCGCCAGCGTCGCTCTGCTGCTGCGACAGCGCGAGTAGCGGCTCGCGAGTGTCGACGCCAATGTCTTCTATGCGCTCTGCTTCGCCCGCTCAGCCAACGTCCGTTCGTGCGCTGTGCGCTCAGATTGCATTTAACTCTTGCCGCGTGCACAACGAACGAAGCGCGATAACAAACGGAAAAACGGCCGCCTCGCGTTGGCTGGGGAGTTCCGCTCTCTTGCTCTCTCTCTCTCTCGCTCGCTCTCCTGGGCGCTCGCGTGCTTAGCTTTTTGTGTGTTTCGTTGATTGTTTTGTTTTGTTTATTCGCTTTTGGCTTTTGGAAAATGCAAAAGACGCGAACTGCAGCTGCATCAACGTTCAATTTCGTTTCGGGTTTTCCTCTTTGTGGTGGGTGCTAAATAATTTGCAATAAATATGCAGACAAAAAGAAAATGTGCCAAGTGTAAATTAATTTAACAATTAAAGCTACCTATACATATACAAATGTTTATCAATAGCTGAGGCTACCCTTTATCGATTGCCGATTCATAACGAGCGTTTATCAGTTACGTTAGCTGGTCAGGTGTCTTGCGGCTCATTAAGCGATTATTCAATACCGTAAATTGAGACGACCACAAAACGACGTTAATTGCGATGCCTGTTATAAAAAGCGAAAACAAAAAATAAACTTAAGTGTTTCGGTCGATCTACGATCGTTCAGCCGGCTAATCGAAAGCAACACCGCAATATTGCTTGATTGATCTCAAATTGAAGTTTGTGGTCGAATCAAAGGCTGTCAAAGCAGTTCGAATTGAATAAAACGACAGATGTGTAACAAATATAAACATGAAATTTATATTTTCTATAAATATCTATATTGAATTGTAATATATATATATTCTGAATTGAAAGAAAACTTTCAGAATTCATTATACAAATTCTTAATTGATATGTAAAACTCTTATAGGAAAAGCAACGGAAGTTTTTGGAAATAATGAGACGCGTTTCCCCCCATTTTCTTTAGATATAAACCCGCTATATAATATAAAACCTTCACATAAATCACGCACAATTTCAAGTTCATTAAAAATACTTCTTTTCGGTTTTGAGGTTTTTTTTTACTCTCTCTCTCTGTCTCTCTCTCTCTGCTCATGCATTTTCCGACCGTTAATGTTTGTTAGAAACTTTCATTAGGTTCTCAATTAGCTGTTGGAGAATTATAACGGCACATGTAGACAGACAGAGGACCGGAACCAGAAGCCAATAAACCAAAGTTCTCCTCTCTCTCTCTTTCACACACACACACTTTACAAATGTTGAGTCAAACATAAGGGAAATCTCAATCTTTGTGCTGATGACATCAATTCTCAATGACACGCACATAGATGTGGGATAAAGACACGGGGTGGGCAGTGGGCGTGTTCGTTGCCCATCTGCTGATGAGGACGCGTGACAATTGTTAGCCCCGCATACACACATACATACATACGTACGTCGCTCGCGTTTGCCGTTTGCTAGCGACTCATAATGGTTCGTGTCCGCGCTTATTCACTTGCGCTTTTGCTGGGTCGGGGGAGGTTAGATCTGAAATTCCTCATAATTATGCGTTGTCGTTGCTGGGAGAGTCATCCGAGAGGGTGACTCCACAAGTAATGGAGAGATTTCTTAAAATATACATAAGAAAATTTTGTAGAGAAATATATAAATTATATTAATATATTAAAAATGTATTGAAATGAAAAAAATAAAAATAAAAAATATGTATATAAATATAAAAAAATCAAAATAACACAAATACACAAAATATATATGTAAATATATAAATATTGATACATATTTTTTAATATTTGAAAAAATAAACCCTAATAACAAAAATAAAAAGTAAATAATAATAATAATAAAAAATAAATAAAAAAAATATTAATAACTATAATAAAAATAAGAATAATCATAATAAAAATAATAATAAAAAAAATAATAACAAATCATAAAAAATAAATTAAAATAATAATTATATTTTAAATAATAATAATTATAAACATATTCCCTAAAAATTTGAAAATCACTTTTGTATGCTATAGAATAATAAATAAATCTAGCTAAAAATTAAAAATATTCATATATATAAATATATACATGTATGTATAAAAATCTGTCTATTAAAGATTTGTAATCTAATAAAACAAATAGTTAGTTCTGGAATTTGTTTTATATTACAAAATGTATTATATACCTAATATATTTTATATATTATATATATATATATATATATATATATATATATATATGTTACATACATAGTTTATAAATACTTTTTAAATAGATTCATACCTAATGCTAGGATACAAGTTTACAGCATTTCCTCAAACTACCCTCGTTTAATATTTTTACCATATGTGGAGAGCATGTACATATGTAAGTAATTCGACGAGCACCCTGGGCTCCCATGTGCTGAGCGAACATATGGCGAATCGTTGATTGAAAGGCCAGTGCTGAGTCTGGGGACTACTGAGCGCATTGAGGTTCGACGTTAGGTTGGTTTCTTTGTTGATTCGGTCATTATTTGCTTTGACTATTTTTAAGATCTGAACGAATCGTCGGGTCTTGAGAGACTCTCTGTGGTGGTGCGTCGCTCTCTCGCTCACTTGCTCTCTCTCCCCTATGTTTTCATTATCTGTGATTCTCTCAGTTTTTGTTCAATTTACAAAATTTGCCCGTGAATTTTTTGGCGTTCAGTTCGCCTTTCGCGTTTCGCGTGTTGTAGTCGAAGTTTTTATTTTTGTCGGGTTTGTTTATTTATGCTATCGCGTACGCGGTGTACAACAATAAAATGTTAATCTCTTAAACACATATGTATATTTATAAAATTTGTGGATATTAATGATTAATAGAGCAATTGTTTGTTTACCTTGAATTGCATTTAATATTTTATTAAATGCAAAGTCGTCAAATTGACTAAAAGCGCCACTGCCAAATCGTTTGATATGAAAATTGCCAGAGCTTTTCCAATTTAGCGCACGTTGCGTCCACTTGACATGCAAATTAAAATTCCACAAGAAATGAAAATTCCAACGAAGTTAAATCAAATTGATTTAATAATATTTTTGAAGCTCTTTTGTTCGTTCAGCACACACAAAAAATATGCTTTATCCTCGGCTTTGGCTGCTGCTGCTGTTTGTTGTTCAAGAAAATTTGCATTTAATGAGCTGCTTGCTGCTTATTTATGTAGTCCCCAGCCTCGATCACGCCCCCCGTCCCCGCATTTTCCGTTGCTCCTCTTACCGAGAGCCGGCAATTGTATGTAAATTGCGCTGTGAAAATCATTTTGAAAAGCTAATGATATATTTCTCATACCTCTTAACAATAAAAGATGAGCCACAAATTGTTCAATTCATCTTAAAAATGTAAAATAAAGAAAGTTTAGTTAGTTTGGGGGAATTAATTAGGCGGCTTTACTTTTGTTAGCAAATATTATTTGTGATAAGGAATATAGATATGTAATACATTTTATCGTTTGTTGACCGGGTAATAGTTTCTTAAAGCATTGAACTAGTTCGTTATTGTTTCTATTTATATGAAATGGGAAATAGAATACGTATTTTTAGAGTTTATATATTCTCAAAGTAATTTTTCTACATAAAACACTTAGTTTATTTGACTGCAAGCCTATTTTATTTTTAGTAAACATAATTAGGTTCTCCTAGTTTCCATTTAAATCTGCGATAAGTAGCTCATTTGACCTAGTTCATTTCGTTGATTAATGAGTTTGCTCTTTCTAATCTTTTAAGCGTAGCTCATAGACCTAATGTATTCCAAAAACCTACCTCAAATGAAGTTAGAGAGACGATTTTAGTTAATATTCAAATTAGAAATGAATGGTTCACTTGGAAGTAGTTCATTTGAACAAACTCGTTTAAAATATTACTAATGTTGAATGTTACTGGGCTAGCAGCTTTTTAAATAGTCACAATCTTCTGTGGTTCATTGGAACTAGTTCGCCTATAATTTTACCGAGTCCGCAGCTCTTTAAAAAGTCACCTGTAATAAAAGAATATCTTCATTTAAAGTCTTATCTGTAGTTTGTATTCCCCTTAGATGTGCCCTGGCGTCATCCATCATATTATTTTATTTACTTACCAATTTTTTACTGCAATTTCTGTTAGCTTTAGCATGTGCGTATACAAAGTGTCCAATCTGAACAGTAACCAAAAAAAAAAAAAAAAAAAAAAAAAAAAAAAAACAAAACAAAAAAAACACACACACACACACACTCGGTTCTACTATCAATCATTTTCCGCTGCGTTGGCCTCTCCCCTTGACCCCGTAGAAAATTGAACTTAGCTATAAAGTCGACTAGCTGATAAGCTGGCCAAATGCCTGCCTCACTCCGTGTAGGTTCGCTATGCGTTTCTCTTACTCATTCGTTCGTACGTTCATTTCGTAGGCTAAATAGACTAAACATTGTTGTTTTCATGGTTGGCGAGCAGCGGCGCATTGAATTTGGCGTAATTAGAAACTTGTTGGGGATATGCCAAGGCACGAATGGAACAAAGCTGAAAGATAAACGGCGACAGGGCCCTGGACATGCAAAATAATAAGGCAAACTGCTTTCATTACACTCGAAGAAAAACCCAAGCTGTTGCAGCTAAGATTCTAATTGTTTGGCAGTACATGAAAAAAAAAAAGAAACACACAACGAAACAAAAACAAAAATAATTTAACGCTCTGCTGACTGTCTGGCTTGTTGTTGCTTATATAATGAGGATGAAAGAGGAACATAAGAGCTAAACTTTGGCTGTTAGTTAAAGTTGTTGTTGCTGCTATGATTACACTTGAGTTCTTCTTCTTCTTCTCCTATGTCTTCTTCAACTTCATCTTCTAAGTTTTTCTGCAATTGCATTGAGAAATTATGCAAAGGCAAGGTGAGAGATCAGTGTGACAGCAAACAGCTGTTGTCTATCCCCCTGACAGACCTCACATTGTGAAATGGGGTTAACACAGTTGTCTATGCATGTAAGTGTGTGTGTGTTGGCCATGTGTGGGCGTTGCAAAGGCTTTTGCATAACGGATATGGACAAAGAGAAAAAGAAAAACAACAAACATCCACACTCATCAAATGGGGTTAGAAACTAGCGCAAATCCTAAAGCGCTCTTCGAATGTGTAAATGGCTGAACTTCTTAGGGTCTAATGCGGTTAAATTGCCTTCCTGGAAGAGTTTGAGTATGGCGAGTTTTCGAAAGTGGAACAGCTCTGGATTATGAAGCTAAATAACTATTGGGAGTAAGACCAGCTCCTCTAATTGTCTTGGGTCTTCAAATTAGTCGAGAGCTCTTTTCAGACATTGTTGCTCGGAGAAGATTTTAATTGTCAATTGCTTTAATTACTTTACTCGAAAGAAAACTATGTCGATGTAGCAGATAGTGTGCAGTAGAAGGTAGTAGTAAATGTATATACATATACATATGTATGTTCATAATTATTTAAATAATGACTTTCTTAGAACAATGAGCTAAGCATAGGCGCTCAAGTCAAGTTATGAGTAGGCACAAATCTTATTCACTTGAAAAGGGGAAATAAAAATTTAAAAAAATAAATAAAATAAAAAAACATTTTCATAGAATTTATATTAAATACAGAAAAGTATATTAAAATACACAAATTGTTAAAAAAAATTTAATTAAAGAAATAAATTAAAACAATATAAAAGTAAATTAAAGAAAAATAATAATAATTAATAAAATTAAAAGCTGATAATTTATAATTTTAAAAAAATTATATTACATAAATTATTAAAAATGTAAAGGAATTATCTGCTTGGTCAACCGTTTTAAAATCATATATCGATTCTGAAAAATTAAATTATATAAATGGAATTATATATATAATATTAAAAATTAAATTATATAAATGGAATTATATATATAATATTATAAATTTAATTATACACAGAAATTATTACTTTCCTGCACGAATTTGAGAGTTAATGAACTCAAATGTCTTAAGGAATTTGTTAATAGTCTGATATAGAATATTTATAATTGGAATAATAGTGATAAAAAATCATTAAAAAATAAATAAATTTAAATACAATTTTTTTAATTTGATAGAGTATTTACATTACTATATTTGACCAATTAAATGCGCTTTCAATTATTTGCATTTTCCATATTGGAAATCGAAGCTTTGCCCACACTTCATAAAATTTATAAATCAAATGAAGGCTAATAATTGGGCTCAGATTTGTCTTTTACATAATTGGACAGACATTGGAATGTCCATAAAAAGCATAAAAAAAATTCGAAACTTCCATCAAAAACTGCGCCATAAATATATGGCCTAAAGGCAATTTCTTTTATGATCTGTGTGTGTGGGCAGCAAACCCAAAGTTGCATCATTATGATTTTGTTTTTCTTTTCTTTTCTTTTTTTTTTGGTTAATATCAATTTCATTTTCAATTTTTCACGATATGCAGCGGCACGTTCTGTAGGTGCGTCATTAACTTAATTTCCATTGTCTCAAATCGTGCGCAGGCAACAACAACAACAACTGCAGCAGCAACAGCGACCGCAACAGCGGTTGCAACTGCAGCTGCAACACGTCAAGTGGCAGCTACAAATCAATATGCACGAGAGCATCATAAAAATGTCTGCAGCCCATCTGATTGGGGCGTTGAACATTGAATATCGCGCATACGCCACCGTTTTATCTCATATGCGATGTTTATAAATGGCTAGACCATTAAGCCGAACTGTGGAAAAACAATGTCCAAATCTTGTTTTTCTCTTAGTTTCGTTACAAAGTTATTGTAATGCGATTTTCCGCTGAAAGTGATTAAGATTTTTTAAATAAAAAAAAAAACAAAGTAAAACCTGTGAAAAACTTGATGCGACAGTCTCTAAATTGTTGTTGTGTGTGACAACTGGGCAAGAGATGGTGAAAGTTGTTGTTGCTGCTGCTGCAGTTGTTGTTGTCATTGTTGTAAAGTAGTCAAGAAACAAGTACATAAATCAATATGAGCTGTGCTCGAGTTTCATTTGCCTTTTGGCAAAGCAATTGACATTGTTGTTAACTAGAGAAATAGTTAGCTGAATTGGCAAGATATTTGTTAAAAATTAAATAACAATTTTGATAAAAATAGCTATTAAGTGATGCTGAGGAATTAGCCAGCTGATAAATCTCTCAAGAAATACTTTTTGCATACAAAACTTTTGGGAATGCATTCTAGAAAAATTATTTTTCCTCTATGAAGCTTGCAGAAATTCTGAAAAATTTGCACACTCACGCATACATACAAACACATTCGCACACATTGCCCGAAATGCTCTCAATTTTATTATTATTTTTACTCAGATTGTAAATTAGAATTTATTATGGCCGCCACTTAAAACCATTTGACATGCACAATTGTGCTGAGGCTCTAGTTGAAAGGCAACGGCGCGATCTCTTATTTTTTTTTAAAGATTTGCTGTGCCTGTGTGCGTGTGAATCATGCCGAGAATTTATTATAAACAATTTAAGAAAAATTCAAGAGTCATGTGTATGACACATTTCGCTCAGCTCGAGAATTGAATCATCAGTAGGGAAATATCTGAAAAATTACAACAAAATAACTAAAGAAGATTCGCCTAAGCGAGGGTATTATGCAATGCTGTGGCAAGAAGAAGAAGAAGAAGCATTGCAGCATTGCATGCTCCACTAAACAGGCTATAGAAGAAGACGCGGCTCTGTAGAGTCTTTTGCGTTGTTTTATCTGCACGAAGTTCATCAATTCAAGTCGGAAATTAAACAGAGAGAGAGAGAGAGAGAGAAGAAAGACAGGGAGAGACTTCAACAAAAACAGAACTCAACTCAGTCGTGTAGAAAGAGGCGTGACTAGGGCAGCCATGGAGCAGAAGGCGACGGGGGTAAAGAGGTCTTCCAGAACTTGGATCTTATGACTTTTGTTTGGGCTGCAAAAGAGCGCGCGTGCTTGCATTTCCTGCTGCATTGGGGAAAAACATGGAAGCAGTAAAACTCTTGCCATTATTCCTTTGTTTCGACTGAATTTTTCTTTCATATTGTGCAACGACTGCCGTTGTGTGGGCCCCCAAAGTCAGTGCATGGAATCCGGAACAGTTTTACCTTTCAATTCGCCTGACCTCGAGCTGGACTTTCATCTTTCGCATCGTGTTCATCGTCTGAATTACAGCCCCTCGAGCAGAAATTAAAAATATTTCTTACACTTGCTGCTGATTGTTCTTGCGCGGGTTGAAGAAACTCATTAGGAAAATATGCGTGCGATTCGCCATCGTATAATGTTTTATAATGCGTGGATTTCTTGAATTTAACGCAAACCCTAATTGCTGGGAGAGTTAACTTTAAGCCCGATTGTTGTTTATAATTTTCTTGCGAGTCGTTAGGTGCGCATCTAAAAATTATATAATAATTTTGGGTGAAATTGCCTATGAACAAGCTTTTATTCAGCCATTAAACAAATGAAATTAATATTGTAATAATGATGTAATAAATTTGTAAATAATAAAGTAGAGCGCGTTTGATAAATATTAAATAAAAATATATATATTTAATGATATAAATATTAAAATATAATTATAAAGTAGAAATAAAATATGTCTAAAAATAAATAATAATAATAAAATATATAATAATAATAAATTATTAAATAATAATTAAATAATAATAAAAATTATTAAATAACAGAAAAATACATATATAATTAAAAATATAAAATATAAACAAATCAATAATAAATGCTTAAATTTAATTAGGCAAGAATTTAATTGAATTCAGAGAAAAATGTTTATATTATAAAAGACTGTTGCAAATTAAGACACAATAAATAAATAAAAAAAAACAATTGCCTATCGAAATTGTAACAAAATATTCATATATACATATATAAACTGTAATAAAATATATATAAAATGCGCATCAATAAATATATGAATTAATTGATATATTTATTGTAGCTACTACAAATATTTGTAGCATATTTGTATTACAAATAAATATATGTATTTATGTATATGCATAGATTTTATTGTTGCAATTTCATGTATTTCCATAGTGCACAACAATGCATCGAAAAGTGCCCAATAAATTATAAAAATGTGAAAAAGAGAGAACTGAATTACGTACTCAACATATCAAATAAAAACCATAAAATGTGCCTTAAAAAATAAAAACAAAAAGAAAACGCCAAGTGTCTTCCACAACTGAAACAAAACTTGAACAAAAAGCGAATCGAAAACAACAAAAAAGTGTGAATTTACAACGCCCAGTGCCACGCCTCAGCTATCAAAAATAAAAACTGAAAGCAAAACTGTAACAAATCTCGATTTGAAAAATCTGAACAACAACAACAACAACAACAATAATAATAATAATAATAAACAAGTACAGCAACAAAAAATCATGAGTAGTCAACCTGCCAGCCAGCCCGATAGCATTGACTTAGCCTATGATATGTGGGCGGGTCAATTCGAATTTGTCGGACCAACAGTGAACTCGGCGGCAACAACAGTAAATCAAAAGCTGAACAACAACAACAATAACAGCGGCAACATCAAATTCGGCAGTGAGAGGAATGCTAGTCAGAAACTATCCTCGGCCGAGAGTTTGGAGGATTTGAATTTGAATTTCAATACCAGCGCCACGCAGAATCCACTGTGCAACGCCTATAGTCTGGGCGTGGGCGTGGCTGACGACTATAGCGGATTTGGCAAGCAGCCCATACTGATTGATCAGGAGACATTTCTGAGTCTGAATCCGGCTGACTTTGAGAACATTGTGCCATCCGATTCGGAGCCCAATTCGTTGGTCTTCATCGAGAATAAGCTCGAAACGAACAACAACAATAGCTTGGAGTCGAATAACAATAACAACAACAATAACACAAATAACAATAATAAAATATACAATTTGGAAACGTTGACCAGTAAATTCAATAACAAAACCAACAATACAAATACAAACGGTTTCAAATTGGAAAACTTGAAGAACTTCAAGAACAAATTGCTCTGTGATTTCGAAGAGAACGGCAACGGTGGATCACCGAACGGTTCAAATAGCAAAATGAACGGCTCTCTCAGTGCCGAGATATGCGATAATTTCAACGAGCAAGTAAGCAAACCCCAAACATACCCCAACTACAACAAGCCCATCCCCCCTCTCTCTATCTCTTTAAATCAGACCTCTAACAACATCTTGAATAATTTATGCTATTGCAAATGCAATTTCATTAAAGTGTCCCCCTCATTTTGCCTAATTCGTAGTCGTACAGTCGTATAGCCCCATAGGGTTGCGTGTATGTCTCTCTGTCTAGTATAGCATGTCAATAATTCCCATTTACTATAAATAAGTGCCGTTGTCTAGTCAGGCAGTTTAGTCCATCACTGGATAGTTACGAGCGCACTGCAAATGCAGATATATGAAGAGTTTCCCGAATTCTACTTGAAATATTGGAATTGTGAATTGAGCACTGGAAATGCTGGAAACAAGTGATGTGAGTGTTTGAGGAGCTGACTTGGCGTGAAGTTTAAGTGTTGAAAAACGCCGTATGCCAGTTGTACTTGTAGTTTTGAGGCATTGATTAACAATATATCCATTGTTTTAGCTGAGAAAACTATGTAATACTGGTCTATTGCATATTAGTGTTGATAAATGTATCAAATTTGACACTTTTACTTATTTCGAGCTACTATTTTTGTTATCTATATTACTGTTGACTTTAAATTAATGAAATGTAATTAGCAATTCCATGATATATTTAACTTTGAGTCTTGCAAAACCATTGAAAATGGAAATTTCCGTGTTGAAATGCTTTAATGGACAACTTAGATAAATGTTGAAAATGTTGACTTTTAATTTGTTTATTAAAGCATTAGGTCTTCAATAGTTGATCTAAAAATAGCTCAGATTCACTAGAAAACATGTTCGCTTCACTTACTACAAAACAGTGTTGCACAATTTATACTCAGCAGCTGGCGAGAAAAGTTTCGGGATCTACTTCTGTGTAGGTAGTATATAAACTTTTCCTAGCATTTGTTGTACTATTTTTTCGTTCATCAAACTCTATATTTGCTATATATACTTGAACAGTATTAGTACCTTTACCAAATAAACTATATTTTTGTCTAGTCCTAGCTAGAAGGTAAAGCAAAACAACGTTTCCAAGTTACCAATTAGCCGTAATATTTCTCAAAAATTGTTTACGTATTTCCTTGACATATTTATCCTAAAAAGAAAAGCAAAATTTAAACAAACATTAGAAGATCTGTTTTTGTAAATTGCAAACATCTGCTGAAAGTAAACAACAAAAAAATAAATTATCTTTCGCTGTATTCGAGCAATGCGTCAAATGAGATCAGCTGCCTCTGAAATAAGTTAAATATATATATACATATATAACAACAAACTAGAAATTCCCTCAAAACACTTTGATGAATGAACGAACGAACGAAGTGAATGAAATGGAAATGGAAATGGAAACTTAGGCAGCCGAATGATTAGTGTGTGTGAAAATATGTCAACGAAAGTAAGCGAGGAGAAGGCGACACAGTGAGAAATGTGAAACGAGAACAGAAGCGCCTTTTGGGGTCTTAAGTTTCGAAAAGAGATTTATTGAAGCTAATGCGATCGGAACATCGGAGAACTGTTGGGAGATATCGTAGTTGTAGTTGCTAACAGGCACTTCTTTCTCTGGCTGACTCCACGGGGCAGACACACACACACGCACAACAGAATTCGACATGCAGCTAATTGCATGATGCAATTTTCCAGTTTTATGCATGATTATCAGACTCGCTCGCTACACATTTGGCTGCTGGCTAATTGTGGGCCTGCAGCTGTGAATGCGAGCATGTTATTAATCAAGAGCCAAAAACTCTCCGATTCTCCGACAACAGAGTTTTCACAGGCCCTCGAGGTCACTGGCTGCCCGATAAGGCCGGCAAACGGATGCCACTTGCTCATATGTTTACTGTTTATACATACATACATATATACGTATATGTATACAGTCTATCGCGCCTGATATATGCTAATGGGAGCAGCGTCTCATTTGATAAATGTAACAAATGGGGATTATTGTATATTGCCCCAGCGGAAAACGTAAAGCGGAAAGTGTTGCAAGTGTTTGCTTGGAATCTTTTGAGGTCAAAGCTAATGCTAACTGTTATGGGCTCGGGTGTAAAGATTTTCAATTGATCGAGCGAGTTTATGAGCTGCTAATTGAGAAAAGTTATTATAAAACGATATGATTAGGGGTAATTAATTGGAATGATATGTAAGTGTGAGTGTTGAAAGAGGAATGAAATGAAAGGAAAACTTTTCCAACTTATGCAGCTATGAAGCTGATCTTTAATATATATAGTAAATTATATTTAATCTCTCAATCGCTGAATCAATAGATCTGATTCAACAGAAACAAAATCAATTTGATTTTAATATTTGTTCTTTTATATGTGTGTTATTCAATCTGTCATTCATTCAATTCAAACATTTCTGAGTGGAAACAAACTTCAATTGAAATGTTAATTCCAGGATATTTGTATTACATTATTAATATTATGTCATATCTATATTCTCTATATAATGTCTGTCATTCACTCAAACTTTGATTTTGATTGCAGCCTCCTTCACTTATTTATCATCGGCTCTTAGCCTAAGGCGTTTCCGCAGCCCTTTGATTGCTTTAAGATAACATATTATTTATTTCCACAATCTATATATACATATGTATGTATATGCATTCATTCTGTCAATCATGCAATCAACATTTTTGATTGCAGCCCCTTTCACTTGCACTTGCTCAGCCAAATTGTCATATTGTGTTGGCCTAATGCATTTTCCTAGCCCTTTGCCAGCTGGCAGCTTGTTTTTCTTGCTTTTCACTATTGAGCACCCATTTTCCGCCGTCACTATGTCACCTGTCACACAGTTCGCTACTTTCCAGTTCAGAGTTACGACTCAGCTTTAAAAATTGTACAAAATTTCGTACACACACAGGGTGTTTCCCGTTGCTCGACACGCAGACCGCATTGACCCTGGAACAAGCTTCAGCAAAAGTGACAAGTGACAAAAGCGACTCCCTGCACTTCCCCTACCTGCCTTTCTCTCTCCCTCACTCACACCTCTTTCCTGTTTTGCAACGGCACTTGTTACTCAATGCGTCTGCTTGGACTCTTAATTTGCTTTTTTATATTATTATTTTTTATATTATTATGTTATTTTACGGCTTGTTGTTGTTTATTTTAGCCAGCGGTTTTTGTTTTCTTTTCTTTTCTTTTCTTTTTTATTTCTGTAGAATTTGAATTAGATTCTAGTTTTTCTGCCCCTTTACATACTATAATTTTGTTGCTGTTGTTTTTTCGTTTTTTTTTTTTTTTTTTTTTTTTTTTTTTTTTTTTTTTTTTTTTTT